TAGGAGCTTCCCTCATAGCTCAGTGGTAAAGACCCCGACTGCCAATGCAGGAGATATAAGAGACGCGGGTTTGATCCCTGGGTTGAGAAGATCCCCTGGAGGAGGGCACGGTAACCCACTGTAGTATTCATGCCTGGAGGATTCCATGGACAGAGAAACCCGGCGGGCTACAGTCCATGCGGTCGCCAACAGTCGGACACGAAGCAACTTAACAAGACAGGCAGCACACAGTCCTCTAACCAGAGCATCACACAAGCAACACGGGCTGGGGGGTCTGCAGACACCTGCCTGCATCACCTGCTTGCATCTCGTCCTGGGAGCACACAGGTTAGCTCACTGCTCCAAGCCAGCCTTCCGTCTGCTCATTCATTTCCTGAACAACTGAAGATGTGTTACCTGCGTCAATAGCTCATTTGTGTCCGACTTTTTTGCAACTCCATGGACTAGAGCCCACCAGGCTGCTCTGTCCATGGAATTCTCTAGGCACAAGAATACTGGAGGGGGTTGCCATTCCCTTCTCCAGAACTCTGAGGATGGGGACAAACAAGATGGCAAACAGTGCTTTTAGGGCTCAGGGGAATCTGACGTTCATGCCTCCTCTCCTCTACCTTCTGAACCATCAGGAACAGGAAACAGGAGACAAAAAGGCCAGGGTGATACAAGTCAGCTCCTTGAGGGCCTGGGAGGGAGGGCAGGGGGGTGGGAGACACACATTGCCCAAAGGCCATGTGGGGTCCTGGCCCCTGGTCCATCTGGGCGGCTGGTCACTCTTTATGTCCAGCCTCTCCAGTCAGGTGAGTCCCTTGTCCTCCTCGTCCTGGGTGAGGACCTGAAGAGAGGGAAAGGCAGGTTCCTGTGAAAATCGCCCCTGGATGTGGACCCTCTTAAGGATACGTGAGGAAGAGTGGACGGGATGCTGACCTCTGAGCTAGTGAGAGTCCATCGGGGACTAAGCAGAAGCCTTCCTCGAGCATGGCCAGAAATGAGCACCTGGGGCCAGGGACCTTCTGGTGGGCTCTGGTGAAGGCGATCAGAAAATGCCCTAAAGGAGGCTGCAAATCATATGTCTCAGGTCAGCTCCCCAGAAAAGACTTCAGCCAAGAAGTACAGCTGAGAGCAAAGCAGAGGTAAATGCCTGGTAGACTTTGCCAGATCCTGGTCAAGAATAACGTGTAGGAGACACCAGTTCTGTTCAGTTCAGTCGCTCAATCATGTCCCATGACATCTTTGTGACCCCATGAACCACAGCACGCCAGGCCTTCCTGTCCGAGACCAACTTCTGGAGTCCACCCAAACCCACGCCCATCGAGTTGGTGATGCCGTCCAACCATCCCATCCTCTGTCATCCCCTTCTCCTCCTGCCTTCAATCTTTCCCAGCATCAGGGTCTTTTCAAACGAGTCAACTCTTTGCATCAGGTGGCCAAAGTATTGGAGTTTCAGCTTCAGCATCAGTCCTTCCAATGAACACCCAGGACTGACCTCCTTTAGGATGGACTGGTTGGATCTCCTTGCAGTCCAAGGGACTCTCAAGAGTCTTCTCCAACACCACATTTCAAAAGCATCAATTCTTTGGTGCTCAGCTTTCTTTACAGTCCAACTCTCACATCCATACATGACCACTGGAAAAACCATAGCCTTGACTAGACGGACCTTTGTTGATAAAGTAATGTCTCTGCTTTTTAATATGCTGTCTAGGTTGGTCATAACTTTCCTTCCAAGGAGTGTCTTTTAATTTCATGGCTGTAATCACCATCTGCAGTGATTTTGGAGCCCCCCCCAAAAATAGTCAGCCACTGTTTCCACTGTTTCCCCATCTATTTGTCATGAAGTGATGGGACCAGATGCCATGATCTTAGTTTTCCGAATGTTGAGCTTTAAGCCAACTTTTTCACTCTCCTCTTTCACTTGCATCAAGAGGCTCTTTAGTTCTTCTTCACTTTCTGCCATAAGGGTGGTGTCATCTGCATATCTGAGGTTATTGATATTTCTCCCGGCAATCTTGATTCCAGCTTGTGCTTCATCCAGCCCAGCGTTTCTCATGATGTACTCTGCATATAAGTTAAATGAGCAGGGTGACAATATACAGCCTTGACGTATTCCTTTTCCTATTTGGAACCAGTCTCTTGTTCCTTGTCCAGTTCTAACTGTTGCTTCCTGACCTGCATACAGATTTCTCAAGAGGCAGGTCAGGTGGTCTGGTATTCCCATTTCTTTCAGAATTTCCCACAGTTTATTGTGATCCACACAGTCAAAGGCTTTGGCATAGTCAATAAAGCAGACATAGAGAGACTCCAACAAAGTACCTAATCTGAGACAGGGACTTCCCTGGCAGTCCAGTGGTTAAGACTCCACCTGCCAATGTGGAGGACGTGGGTTCGATCCCCGGTCGGAGAACTGATTCCACATGCCGCAGGGCAACTAAGCCCGAGCACCATGACTCCCGAGCCTGTGAGCACTAGAGCCTGTGCTCCGAAACTAGAGAGCCCGTGTGCCACAGTGACAGATCCTGCACGTCGCAACGAACACACGATGCAGCTAAAAATAAAACCAAACGAACATTTAAAAAGTAAACTGAGACAGAGGTGTCTACACACTCGTTCCCTCTCTTCCCTGCTCTCTGACGTGGAAGTGCTTAGTCGCCCAGTCGTCTGATTCTTTGTGACCCAAAGGACTGCAGCCCACCAGACTCCTCTGTCCATGGGATTCTCCAGGCAAGAATACTGGAGGGGGTTGCCATGCCCTTCTCCAGCGGATCTTCCCCACCCAGCGACTGTACCCAAGTCTCCCGCACTGCAGGCAGATTCTCTAGTGTCTGAGGCACCAGGGACGCCCTCTCTGAAGCTTGCTGGGATCTTTGACCCCCACCGCGCCACTGAAAGCGCTTGCCAGCGTCATCCGTGATCTCCCTGCCGCTGAGTCCAATGGTCGGTTTCTAGGCGTCGTCTTCCTTAATGTCTCAGCAGCATCTGGCCCGACTGTGCATTCTTTCCTCCTCAATATGCTTTCTTCACTTCACTCCTAAGACAGCACATTCCACCGACTGGTTGTTCCTTCCAGTGTCCTCTGCTGAGTTTTCTTCCCAGTCTTAGAGAGCTCAGTCCATGGTCATCTTTCTCTTCTCTGCACACATTTTATGTTTTGCTAGTGTCTTAGTTCAGGCGGCTATAACAAACTACCACGGATGGGGTGGCTTATAAACGACAGAAACTTATATTCTGGAGGTTCTGGTAGCCGGAAGCCCGAGACCGGGCGGCCGGCATGTCTGGGTCCTAGTGTGGACCCTTCATGGCGACAACAGCCAGCTTCTCGTCGTGTCCACCCGTGGTGCAGATCAGAGCAGACGGAAGCCAGGTGTCCAGGACTCTTGTAAGGACACTAATCCCGTTCCTAACGGCTTCCCCCTACGACCTCATCTCATCCTAATTAGGGCAGCTTGTTGGTCTAGGGGTATGATTCTTGCAAGAATTAGGCTCATAAAATCGTCTCCCAAGGACACAAACATGTGTCTGAGCACACATGGTGGGTGAACCTTGAAAACAGGCTAAGTAAAATACACGTGCGTGCACAGTCACGTCCGACTCGTTGGATCCCATGGACGATACAGCCTGCCAGGCTCCTCTGCCCATGGACATTTCCAGGCAAGAATACTGGAGTGGGTTGCCATTTTCTCCTCCAGGGGATCTTCCAACACAGGGGTCGAACCCATGTCTCCCACATTTCCTACACTGGCGGGGGGGTTCTTCAGAAGTCTTCATCGTGCATGACTGTGTTTACATTCCAAAACATCCGGAACAGGTAAATTCACAGAGACGGAGAGCAGACTGTTGGTTGCCAGGGGCTGGGGGCAGGGGGAAGACTGACTGCTTAGCGGCTAAGGAGCTGGATTTGGGGATGATGAACACGTTTGGGAGCTAGACAGAGAAGGTGGTTACAGAGCACTGTGAACATACTAAATGCCACCAAATTTTTCACTTTAAAATGGCCAGTTTTATGCTATGTGAATTTTACTTCAATGAAAAAAAGTCTTTAAAAGATTTAAAAGAGGACACACATGGTAAGGGGCTTTGTGAACAGCAGCCATCTGGTGACTGGGGTTCCGGGCTCAGCTCTGATACTTACTGACCATGAGGATGGCAAGGCAGTGCTGTGGGCCTCAGTTTCGTCACCTGTAAAATGGGTTGGACCACATCACCAGTGCTCAGTCAGAGCAGCCCGTGTCGAGTCACACGAGCACTGCTTCTAAACACACAGACCACCCTTCAGATTCTGGTACGCCCAAGAGGGCAGTGTGCCTCTTGCTGCTGTGCTGAGAACACTTATTTCAGGTCTGAATCCAACCCCCTTTCTAGAACATCAGGCTAAAGGGCACTGGCAGCCCACGATTCTAGCACATTCACCCATGACCGTTTATAAGATGCGTTTTGATTAGAGAGGACGATACCATAAATGAAGTACATTTATTAGGAAGATAAATGCCACACCGTTACAAGTAGTTCCCTTGGGCACTTGGCAACTTCACAGGAAAAAGACACCTTGACAGAGTCGTCCACAGGATTTTTCTTATAACATAGAAGGAGTTTTAAGGCAGATGAATTCGAGGCCACGAAAACTACATCCGTGATACAGGCACAACATTCAGAAATAACTCAGGCTCCAAACGTCCCCGTTCCCAACACATCTCTGAACAACTCGGTCGACAGCTGCTGTCAGGGACTCAGACGCAGAGTCTCAGAAGCAATTCAACACGACACCGATGCAGAGGCGGTTGTCCCGAGACCTCCCCAAATCACGTGGTTAACACTGACCCACGGTGCTATGTGTAAGCCTCACATGCTTTTATTTCACACAAACCGGACACTGTCCCAGGAGAACAAATGCACATCAGGTGAGAGGAAAACAGGACTTAGAATCACGTCCCACAAACAGGATTACAGAAAACGAGGGCTGCAGTGGGCCACGCGGATGGACTGATGACTTCTGACAGACGGTGAAACGAGGCTTATAGAGACGCCGCGGTAAGCTCCGTCTTCCCCTCCGCGGTCACCACCTGGATTAGGCTTCCTGAGCTTGGCCGGTTTTTCTCTGTGATCCAGTCATGGAAGGTTCTAGGACAAAAAGAAACACAGCTTTACATTCTAAAAGCAAAAATCTGGGACACAGGCTTGTACTCACATTGGGGGCTGAGCAGCGACTGTAAAACGCCTCCGGGGCGTCATGGACACAGACCCAGGTCCCCGGTGATTCTAGGACTTCCCTGACTGCAGGTCCTGAGCGGTTAGCAATTGGCAAGGTTTTCGTTTGGCTGTTTTCCTGCCTTGTTGGAACACAGTGATTTTATGTGATTAAAGATTTTCAGGAGTTCATCCTAAGAGACATGGGCACCAGTCTGGCCTTCTGTGATGACCAGGAGGGAGGCGGGGAGGGGAGGGAGGCTAGGGAGGGAGGGGATGATTTGCATTGTTGTTACGGCAGAAACCAACACAACATTGTAAAATGTTTTTAAATATATATTTAAATTTAAAAAATAGAATAAATGGAAAAGAATTAGAAAAAAAAAAAGGAGAGAGAGAGATGGGGAGAACATTTTATACTTTGTTATATTACCTCCCAGAAATTTAAAGAGAAAAAATTATTTTCTTAACAAACATGGAGCATCCATGGAGCACCCACAGTTGTATCATGCAATGGAAAAAGATATTAAAAAAAAACAGACTATGTTATAAAACACATTTGGTGCCAGGGTGGGGCATTTAATAACCAGCTCTGTGTGGGGAAGGGTGTTGGGTGCCTGGGGGGTTGCAGTTTGGTGTGTGTGTGTGATTGTGTCTCTCAGTCCTGTCCGACTCATTGTGACCCCATGGACTGCAGCCCGCCAGGCTTCTCTGTCCGTGGAATTCTCCAGGCGAGAATACTGGAGTGAGTAGTCATTCCCTTCAAGAGGGCATCTTCCCGACCCAGAGAGGGAACCCAGGTCTCCCGCTTTGCAGGCAGATTCTTTACTGTCTGAGCCACCAGGTGAAGCCCTTTCACAGTGTATGTGAATATAAAAACTCAAACTCTATACCTTCAATCTGTATCATTTTTTGTCAGTTATATCTCAGTAAAATCTAGCAGTTGCAAAAAAAACCCAAAAAACGAGGAAAGGAAAAGGGCATAAGGAATTATTAAGGTTTAACAAGAGGCTGATAATTCTTATTTATTTTTAATTTGGCCACACCATACAGCATGTGGGATGCTAGTACCCCTACCAGGAACTGACCCTGTGTCCCCTTCATTGGGAACACATAGTCTTAACCACTAGACTGCCAGGGAAGTCCCCTGCTCATTTTTAAAGCATGAACTCCTGCTGTGGGGAATACTGGCCCCTCTGACATCCCCCAGGTGGGACTGTGGCCCTTCCTTCACTGCAAAGTCCTCAGGAGCTCCTGAGGTCTTCAGTGCCGATGAGCAACCTGCTGGACCAGAGCTGGCCAGGCATTCGAGCTGTACAGGGAAGCCGTTGTATTTCCAGTCACTAGTCGTGCCCGACTCTTTGCGACCCCATGGACCGCAGCCCGCCAGGCTCCTCTGTCCACGGGGTTTCTCCAGGCAAGGATACTGGAGTGGGTTGCTGTGTCCTCCTCCAGAGGCTCTCCCTGACCCAGGGATCGAACTCCCATCTCCTGAGTCCCCTGCATCGGCAGGCAGGTTCTTTACCACCGAGCCACTTAAGAAGGCCCTGCTACGAGCGTTTAGTAAGACCAGGGTTATGAAGTGCTCAAATGGCCTGGTGCATAGGTACTACATAAGTGCTTATTCCAAACATAAATAAACATAAAACACAAAACATCTAAGCAAAAGGCAACCTCAGACCAGAAGCACACATCCCAAGCTCTACAAACATCCCATATGAACACAGCCATCCAGGCGGCTCACCACTCACTCTGCTGGGCGAGGTGGTCCCTGCTTCACGTCTCCCTCCTCATCGCCCCCAGGCCCAGCACAGCCCCTGGCCCCAGTGGGATTCTCAGCGAACATGTGTTCAATACCCCCTTAAACAGAGGGGTCTGGGGGAGCTGAGATCCAGGTGAACACAAGTGAGCAGAAAGCGCACCCTCTCCTGACCTTCCAAAGCCACTCGTATTTACAAAGGGCCTTGGGGACGAACATGATCTTGGGGACAAAGGACGCTTTTCTGAGGCTTGGCACTAATTCAGACACATGGGCCCAGAGGTCCCACCCAGGTCAGCGGCTCACTCCACGCAGCTGTGCTTGTTAACAGACAGAGCGAGCGTTCCGGGAGCCGGGCTCACCCAGCACTTCTGTGGGTCAGATGTGGGCTGAGAGCCTGGCCCACTCTACGATAGCTTACCCTCCTAACAGTCATCACGGGCCCCCATTGTACAGACTGAGAAACTGAGGCCTAGAGGAGCTGAACCACTCCTAGTGGAGGCGGAGGCACCATCTACCCCTCCAGCCTGCGAGGTTCACACGGAGGTGTGAGGCGCCCTTGGAGGTCAGGACCTCATGGAGCAGCCAGGTTGATAAGCCAGGAGAACACGGGCCTGTCCTTTCACCCACGAGACGGAGGCACGGGGGCCGGGAGCTGCTGGGTCAGTGACGCGACTGCGGTACTCACTCGACCAGGAACTCCAAGGGCGTCCAGGAGCTGAAGTCGGCCTCGGGCATCGACTTCCTGTTCACCGGGGTGTCCAGGGTGACCCTGCAGAGCGGAGACAGGCCTGCCACGTGTGTGTCCCCACACCCAGGAGCCCACGGCACTGAGGGTGACCGTGTTGACATGGACCCAGCTACAGATATTACAATTAAATGTGTCCACTATTTCTTAATAAAGAGGGACAGAAGGACAGAAAATAAGAAAGATGCAGGCCAGGAAGACCCATCCCATCAGCCAAGGAACCATCCGGGAAAGCCCAGGATAATCCAAAAGCCGAACAAGTGTCGTCAGGGCCTTTGACGACTCTCGGGGGCCGAGGGGACAGCACGCAGTCATCCCTGGTGTGGGGTGACTCCAGGACCCACGTGAACCCTCGGTGGGGGTCAGGCGTGGAGGGACCCCCAGCCACTTACGGGAGCAGGGCGACGGCTGCAGCCCCAGGTGGCAGGCCGCTGTTCTTCCCGGCCAGGCTCCGGCAGAGCTGGTGCACCGCGGCCTTGGCCATGCCGTAGCCGATCATCCCTGGGAAACGGGGAGAAAACATTTCAGTGACCACCGGCCGCCACTGGCAAGTCCAAAGGGCACCATGCCAGGGTCCTAAGGAGGCCGGGAAGAGAGAACCAGGGACATCTATGGAAAGTGGGAAGGACACAACCTATTATTCACCTGGCACTTAACAGTTTTCAGAGAAGCCACAGGCCAATCCTAGTTCTGTTGCTAAGGAAATGGAGGCTTGGACAGGCCCAGGCTCACATACAGACACGTACTGAGGCCAGCAGAGAGGTGAAAAGCCAGGCAAGGGTTTTGAACCCTTGAATCCATAACAGCTTATGAGCAGCCAGCACACAACACTGGGTGCCCAGGGAGTGGGCAAAATCAGGCAGGAGTCTGAAATACAGGCTCTAGAGTCAGGCTGTGCAGGTTCAGCTGGGCAGCCCTCCCATTTACCGCTACAGAAAGCCGGGCAGGTTCTCAGGACCTGTCTGAACCTCAGTCTTCCATCTGTAAAATGGGGATGCAGTGCTCAGTTCTAGGCTCAGAACAGGGTAGGACCTCCATACATGTTGCCCATCACATTAACATAAGAGCTGTGCCCTGGAGTCTAGCTCCCATTAAAGGACACCATTTGAATCATATGAGACTGCTTACACGTGGAATCTAAAAAAAAGTTCTGGGTTGGCCAAAAAGGGCCCTCAGGTTTTTCTGTAAAATGTTATGGGAAAAAACCTGAATGAACTTTGTGGCCAACCCAATAAAAATAAACATATTTACAAAACAGAAATAGACACAGATACAGAAAATAAACTTATGGTTACAAAGGGAGGGAAGTGGGGGTGGGATACATTGGGAGATGGGGATCAACCCGTACATACTACTGTATATAAAATAAAAAACTAAGAAAGACCTACTGCACGGCACAGAGAACGTGTCTCATTCCTCTGTAATGGCCTACACGGGAACAGAGTCTAACAAGGAGTGGCCATATGTAAGATAAATAACTGATTCACTTTTCTGTACAGCAGAAACTAACACAACACTGCAAATCAACCAGACTCCAAAAAAATTAATTAAAAACAAACTATACTATTTGAGCAATCGCAACATACGTGTACACATGCTTCCTATCTGCCTTCCTTTCCTCCCGCCAGTCAGTGAAGGCTTGCTGATAGAAGCAAGGCATGCCTTTCTTTTTATTTAATTGAAGTATAGTTGATTTATAATGTGTTAATTTCCGCTGTGCAGCAAAGTGATTCATGTACATATACACATACATGGTGGTTGTTTAGTGGCTGCCATGGCCAACTCTTGCAGCCCATCAGGCTCATCTGTCCATGGGATTTCCCAGGCAAGAACAGTGGAGTGGGTTGCCATTCTCTTCTCTGGGGATCTTCCCAACCGAGGGCTCCTGCATTGCAGGTGGATTCTTTACCAACTGAGCTACCCATATATATACACATATATACATTCTTTTTTAATATCCTCTTCCACTAGGGTTTATCACAGGATACTGACTAGTTCCCTGTGTGACACAGTAGGATCCTGTTGCTTACTCAGTCTATATGTAACAGCCTTATCAGGACAGGGCTCCGTTTGTCCCAGAGACACACGGCAGGCCAGCTCTCTCGTCTCAGAAGCACCCCAAAGCACCCAGCTGCAGGTGTACTAAATGCAGCCATCACAGCAACAAAGACCGACTCATTGCTGCCAAGACCCCTCCGCCTTCAGAAAACCACTACTTCCAAAGGTTGGCCACTCCCTAAACACCCCAGCAGGTTGGCTGTTTTAAGTATAACAGCTCGAGAGGCATCAGCATCTGGTGGGAGGTGGGGCTCACAGCCCAGCGGAGTAGCCAATCGCTGAACCGCTTCCACAGTGACTCAAATTGCAAAAGAGGGTCAAGGTCTCAAAAAGTTATTTAGAAACACAAGAAGACTATTTCACCATGCCTGGCTTTTCTTGGCTTCATTGGGGGCAGAAGGCCGACCGTGGCATGAAGATCTAAAAAACTCTGTGGCGATTAAAACAAACCAGAGAAGGGGATGGGACGAGTTGGGAGACTGGGATTGACACTGCAGATACACTACTATGTATAAAATAGACAGAGAACAGAGACAGCACAGGCAACTCTACTCAGGGTTCCGGGGTGACCTAAACAGGAAGAACTCCAAAAGAGAGGGGACGTATGTCTACGTATGGCTGATTCACTTTGCTGTCCAGTAGAAACCAACACAAGACTGTAAGGCAACTATACTCCAATAAAAATTATAACAAAGACATGAGTGAAAGTCACCATTCCAACAGCTTTAAACAAACTAGCACGTGGATTTCACCCGACCAGCCCGTCCCCCAGCACGCTCCCTTCTCCCAGGACTCTCTCTTCACCCCATTCAAACAGCATGAAAGCAAGGAGTCGGGTGAGGACAAGCAAGAAGCAGCAGCCAGGAGCCCTAAGGTTTAATTCCACAGGATTCTGCACAGCGCTGGCGAGGATCATGTGCAGAATATGGGAAAGCATGCACTTCGTCAGGATACATAAGTATCAAGTGATCAGTGCAGTCCCTAAAGACCGATTTCTAAACACAGCGCAGACCCTTACACAGTACATGAGCGAGATCACCATCTCTTTGATACCGTTTACCCTCTACTGGACTGTCCACAAATAAACAGCCTTAGACACAGGAGAGGGTGGGGTTTCTCAGTGTGTTTCAACATGAAAAACTTTTCATTTTTGAACACCTCTTCTTCGGTTTTCAAGGACTATTAAGCCTGTTCATCACGTGCCTTCATAGACTTCCCCAGATTTCTCTGGAGTCTGAATCAAAGAGAAAAGATTTCATGACTCAAATAAGTTTAACAACATCTAACTAAAGAGCTAAAAGAGGAACAAATTTATCAACACCTGAAGGAGTAACTGACCAAAAAGAAACCTAAAGTACTGCTAACTCTCTGCAATACCTGTCTTAAACCATTACCCCCATTAAGATGTTTACAAGTCCCAACCACCATGTAAAGGAGGTATTACCATTACTTTTCATTATACAAATGACAACACTGAGGCTCAGAGAGGTTAAGTAATTTGCCAACTATCACACAGCGACTAAACGTCAAGACCACAATACAAAACCAACCCGTATAGTTCCAGATCCTACAGTCTTAACCAGTATCTGAAACTATAAGCAGAGAATGATACTAGTAAACCAAAACCAAGGGTAGAAAGCTGTTTCGTCCTTCAGGAAAATTAGTGTTTCAGTCCTAGGGTTTTCTCTTTTCAATGTTGAGCTATTATTCATTTCTGTATTTACTCTCTAGAGTCTCTGATTTTAATGAAAATCAGATCTCAGCCAGACTACCACTGAACATTTACACAGTGTGAATTACTGCAAGAGCCATGGATTTATAAGATCACTTTCTCTGTGAAACCTAATAAAATGAGTGGCAAAAAAATTTAATTTGTAAAAGCCTCACAGTTCAGTTCACTACATGAAAACTGAAAAAGATGCTTAAGGTTTCTACCACTTACTAAAGAGGTTCAAAAACACTCCCCCTCTTTTTTTTTTTAACGAGTTTAATTTAGGTAGTGGAGACAGTTTCTGGCTCCCTGAACTACGTCTGCTACTCCCTGCTTAAATTCCTTTATTCTGATCCCAAAGGGACAGTGAATTGTGCCAGATGGTGAAGTCTTAACCATCCCAGGCCTGCACCTCAGTAAAAGTGTTAGTAACTCAGTCTTATCTGAATTCTCCAGGCAAGAACACTGGAGTGGGTTGCCATTCCCTTCGCCAGGGGATCCTCCCGATCCGGAGATTGAACCTGGGTCTCCAGCAGTGCAAGCGGATTCTTTAACATCTGAGCCACCAGGGAAAAGCCCATATTACGAGTTGAGAGCCACTGCAACACCATCCATTCCCTGGGTGGATCCAGACACACACGAGACGAGGGGGTGCCAGAGGACCGTGGTCCTTGGCCAGCATGACCATGAGGACAATGCACATGAAAAGACGAGGACGCTTCCTCTAAAAAGATGGAGGCCTAAAAGGAAGCAAGATCCACCCAACTGCAAACAGCCCTGGAGGGTAAAGGGCTCTAATATTCCCCCTCCCAGGGAAGCGCTCAGCAGCCCACCGAGCAAGAAAGTGTGAGCGTTCCCATTTCACAGACGGGGAAACGGAGGCTCACCAGGTGTCCCATCCAGGGCGGCCCTGGCCCCCGCCAAGGTCAGGAGGCCTCCATCCTTGAGATGCTTGGTGGCCAGGTGGCTGGAGATGATGGATGTCCACACGCTCTGCTTCCACATCAGGTCACAGTTTTTAAAGAGCGCTGAGCAAAGAAACACACGAGGTCAGCATTCGCAGGGAAGAAACTGAAGGGTGAGCTTGACCCCCAGCACCCGACCCTCCAGGAAGCCCCCATGGCCACTCTGGGTCTGCAGGGAGATCTAACACACACACAGTGCAGGGTTTGTGCTCAGAGATGCAGGTTCAAATCCAGGCCACGTGGTCACCCAAGTCTCAGCCTCCTCATGTAAACTGGTTAGTATAGTCGCTCAGTCATGTCTGACTCTTTGCGACCCCACGGACTGTAGCCCACCAGGCTCCTCTGTCCATGGGATTCTCCAGGCAAGAATACTGGAGTGGGTTGCCATTTCCTTCTCCAGGGGATCTTCCCGACCCAGGGATCAAACCCGGGTCTCCTGTCTTGCAGGCAGATTCTTTACCAACTGAGCCACCGGGGAAGCCAAATTGGTTAAACATCCACCAATAAATGAGGGCTGTTGACAGACAGGTGGGACTGGCTTTAATTCAAACACTGCCCTACTTTATAAATGGCATTAGGGGCCTTCCCTGGTGGTCCAGTGGTTAGAATTCCATACTCTCACAGCCAAGGGTCTGGGTTCGATCACTGGTCGGGGAACTAAGATCCCGCAAGCTGCAGGGTGTGGCCAAAAAAATAACTTTTAAAATTACAAAAATAAATAAAGGACATTAGATCTTTAATTAGAACCTATATGTCTAAGTCAAGTTTTATCTGTGATAAAAGATCTCAGGGACTATGATGACATAAAGAGGGCTTTCATGGAGTGACAAGTTTTTTATGGTTGAAAGTTTAATGCCAACTTTAAAGACTCTCTAAAAGAAAGCTGAAATAATAACCATTTCACACTTGTTTTAACCCTCTGGCCTCGCCAGAGACGTGAGGAGGAACTGGTAAGGGAGGTCACATCACCAGCTGATCCCCTTCCCCCTTCACAGGATACACAGAACCCAGTGCACCCATGACCCAGAGACAGAGCCCTCCTGATACAGAAGGAGGGTCTGCAGTGGGTGATGACCAAGGAACTGCATTTCCCTGTTAAGAAGAACTAGGGGAAAAAAGGATGGACCCACAATTGTTACTTCCTGTTCCCAAAATACACAAAAGGCCATCAGGTGTTCTGCCAAGCTGATCCCCGACAAACGGACAATTTCACATTTAAGTGTGGTTTACAGAAAAGGAAAAGGAAACGGTAACCCCCGCCAGTATTCTTGCCTGGAGAATCCTGTGGACAGAGGAGGCTGGTGGGCCACAGTCCACGGGACTGCACACAGCTGGACATGACAGAGCACATGCACATGCGTGCGCACACAGAAAATCAATTCCTTTTTAAATCACTCTGGCTGATAAATGTAGAAGGGATGATAGAATTGGAAAACTACCATTTTCCAAGCCCCAGTGGAATGACTGATTCAGGTAGAGATGATCAATGGATGCTTATAATCACTGGTTTTGGGAACTCTGGGGTTCTCAAGGGGTTTGGGAACAGGATACTCATACATGATGCCAAAGCACCATCCCATGGGTCACTTACTAATTACAAATAGAAAAATGTACTTTACGATGGAGATCTATCACCTTAATCCCGACCCAACACCAGGGCTGGCATCACTCTGGATGGACGGTGGAGCAGGCCGTGGGATGCGGTGAGGACTCAAAGGGCTGCAGGGTGAAGTCCACGTCACCCAGGAAGCATCCTCACCTCCACATTCACCTCCATCCTCACCTCAGCATATTTAACCTGAATCTAAGCAAGTCTCCAGACCTACCTTCCAGTCCACAGGAAACACCAGGGACAGAGGAACGAGGCAAGTGACACCTTAAACAGACAGTCTGACACATTCAGGGTGGGGGACATTCTACATGAAAACTGCCTTGGACCTGCCAAACCTACCACAGGAAAGAAAAAAAGTTCTAGATTAAGAGACTCAAACAATAATACAATGCTGATTAGAATAAATCTAGGGAAAACAGCTAGGGAACAGACTGAGGTAACAGGAGCATGGGCTGGTACCATTAATCTTACAGAATTACTGGTAATTTTCTTAGGTATGAGAGCGGTATTACGCTAACGTGAGAGAATGGCCTAATCCTTGGAGACACATACTGAAGTACAGTCAAGTGTCAAAGCACTTTCAAATGATTAACAACAGCAGCAAAAACACACACACAGAGGACACGCATGCAAGAAAGCAAGAGGATACGAGTGTGGCAAACATTCACAAGGGCTGAGCCTCGACGGGGGCATAAAGGTGTGCACTGAACAGCTCTTTCCTCTTTTCTGTGTATTTGAAAATGCTCATGATAAAAAAATAGCAAAGAAACTCACAGCTTCAGCAAAAGCTCAATTGTGAGTCCTTTTCATCTTCTGAACCATCTCTGCATTCCATTCACATTCCCCAATTCCCAGTACCGAGCCCTGAAAGACTGTGGTGGGAACAATGCTGACTTCATCCCGTCTCCTTTTCAATCTCAAGGCCCCTCTGCCCTAACTCCTCTGAGCATCCGTCCTAACTCCTCTGAGCATCCGCCCTAACTCCTCTGAGCATCCGCCCTAACTCCTCTGAGCATCCGCCCTAACTCCTCTGAGCATCCGTGCAGGCTAAGTCACTTCAGTCATGTCTGACTCTGCCCCCTACGGACTGTATCCATCAGACTCTTCTGTCCATGCGACTCTCCAGGCAGGAACACAGGAGTGGGCTGCCATTCCCTCCTCCAGGGGATCTTTGTGACCCAGGGATCGAACCCCAGCCTCCTGCAGCTCCTGCAGTGCAGGTGGATCCTTTATGCTGCGCCACCGGGGAAGCCCCCGACCCCTTTTATGGGAAGTTTTTTCTTCCTCTGTAAAACGGGCTGTTGACCCCCACCTTATAGCGATTGGGAAGATTCCGGGTGGCAGACAGGAAAACATCTGGCCTGGCACAGGGTGCAGACCCGACCCAAGCACCTGGACAAGGAGCAGTGCAGGGTGATTAACCCAGAAAAGGACTCACACTTGGACTTGGCATTGCCCCCAGCCCATCCTCCAGCCACACAAAGGATCGCATCCACCTTCTCTGTACCCAGGAGCTTTCCCACCTCAGCCGTCACCTGAAACAGAGGGGCAGAAAAGACGCAGATTGTCAGGTAAACCTCAACAGGCTGACGTCTGACGTTGCTGTAGTCACCTCCATTGACCTTTCCCTCCTTTGTAAGTCAGTTTACAGTACCTGGCAATGAACACTTTGAAAATCAGATGCAGGACCCATTTACAATGAACATTTTGGACAGCAAAGCCTGACTGCATTTCAGCATGATTTTTATAAAGCAACCTAGAGTCTTCTGAATATTCTAAAGGGTGGAGACGTACACATTCCTGGGATAAAACAATAAATAAAGTAGGAAAAGTTAAAAAAAAAAATCACACGCAAATTCATGAAGCGTTCCATATTTTTTAAAAAATCACCTAGGATTTCACTGCCTATAGCTAGATTTCTGGTATATTTCTTTCCAGAATTTCTTTGCCAATCACAGAATCACAAACTGAGATAATCAATTCTACTCTCCCTCCAATACAAACATCCCATTAACTGTAACTCCAAAGAAAAACCAAAGCCAAAGAGAAAGTTTTTCCTTAAAAATAAAGCAATAAAAAATAATTCATGGCAAAATGCTGGTAAGCAATGAATACACGGGAGTTCATTTTAATTCTCTACTGCTGTTTGATTCAAATGTTTAAAGTGTTGAAAACATACACATGTCTTTTGTTACAGTTTATTAAAACAAAAATCTGAGAAGACGCACAACCCTGGCCATCATCCATGAATCCTTTCCATATTTTTCTGGAACAGCTGAAAGGATCATAGCCTGTCAACAGCTTCACTAAGATCAAGCTTCTAAAAAAGCAGCTTAACACAGGACAGTGGAATTCTCCCAGCAGTAACATTTCAGTCTCTGACGGCTTTCCCTAACAATTTCTGAGCCTCAGATCACTCTTTCAGGGGCACTGCCTGGCAGTCCAATGGTTCAGACTCCACGCTTCCACTGCAGGGGGCATGAGTTTGACCCCTGGTTTGCGAACTAGGATTCCGCAAGCCACAGGGCATGGCCAGAAATAAACAAATTACTCTTTCATGGAGATCAATCTGGCAATGGAAACCAACCTTTCCTCTCCTCTACATTCTATACCAAAATCTCTCAATTTAAGTAGATTCCTGACCATCTCTTGGCAAGTACCTGACGTAACCCTGGTTCAGCTTTTGAGATCTTCCTCCTGTTACTCTGGTTCCCTGGCTGCCTCTTCTTCATTTCTAAGCCGCATCCCATTGCCAGCAGCAAGGTGTCATCTGCCAGGAGTTGTGTCATCTTCCCTGGCCTCTGTACCCGAACACGACCTGCGCTCTCCGTGTTAGGGAAGCACAGAGCCCATGCAACAATGCTCCTGTTTGATTTGCCTTTTTTTAACCATCTCTGTGTTCTATTTTTATAATAAAATTAAAATGAGGCATTTTAAAATTCCTTGCCCTTAAATTCTTCCTTTTGCCTATCCAATAGTCTTCTATAGGTTTAATTTTTTTCTCACTTTTCACTTTCTGTCTCTAGTGAATTTTCAGCTTAAGAGCCAATTTAAATATGCCTGTGTATGTGCTCAGTTACTCGGCCACGTCCAACTCACTGCGACCCTACAGACTGTGGCCCACCAGGCTCCTGAGTCCATGGGATTCTCCAGGCAAGAAAACTGGGGTAGGTTGCCATGCCCTCCTCCAGCGAATCTTCCGGACCCAGGGATTGAACATGCATCTCAAGTCTCCTGCATTGGCAGGTGGGTTCTTTACCACTAGCGCCACCTGGGAAGCCTTACTTTTATATATACTAAGGTTGAATTTCCTTCTTCTAGAGCTTTAGAATCAAAAACTGGATGTCATGTTGTTTGTCCAGACATTCCTGATTGAGTGACTAGGAGATGAGAAGGCGCAGGAGGGGTTAAAGATGTTAAAAGCTAATAATGAAGGCATTTCCCAATCTTTGTCCTAAAGATGCACCATATAGTCAAGTCTCAGATGTGGACAATTTCACATTCAAAATGGGATACAGACATCAGAAACCTGCAACTAAAGGAGCAGGAGAGACAGTGACCACAGAGGACCATGTCTGGAGGAGCTGCAGCTGTCCACGCCCAGGGGCTCCCTTGCATCTGGTTTAAGTTTTCCTTGCTTTATTCACACGAAGCTATCCTGCTGAGAAGCAACTTTAACATGCAGTTAGGAACACAGGTACCACTCCCTACCAGAGCCCAGGTTCAAATCCTGGCTCTGCCACCTACAACCTGGTCGAACATATACCAGGGACTTCTGTACCCATTTCTAAAATGGACATACGATGAGACACTTGGTTTTGGGGGTGTTAAAGAGATTAAGCAGCCTATTGCAAATAAGACACTTCTTACGATGTCTGACACACAACAAAGCCATACTGAGTTTTACTATTAAGTCCAATAAAACCAATAAGACCATTAAGTGCAGGAATCATTAGGACGGTTCCTTGAACTGTGGGCTGCAGGGTTGGCATGAAGACCACAGATAGCACATCCTTCATGAAGCTGGTGGGAAGGGCTCTTCCAGAAAGGCAGACCTGCTTAAGAGCATCTCAGAAGCTTAATACCAAGACATCCAATGAACTGTCAACAGTTCCTCCTTGGGGAGGTGGGAGGGGGACACAGTCACAGGGAGAAAGAGGGATATTTCACAATTTATCTATATAGCTGTATGGTCTTGCCTGACTTCTTTACAATACGCCTGGGCGGGAAGATTCCCTTGGAGAAGAGAATGGCTACCCACTCCAGTATACTTGCCTGGAGAATCCCATGGACAGAAGAGCCTGGTGGGCTACAACAGTCTATGGGGTCGCAAAGAGTCAGACGTGACTCAGAGACTAACACTCTCACTTTCGCTTTATAATTGGAAACGACCTGGTTTGTTAGCATTCTTGCTTTGGGTAGGGGGAGCTCCGCTTTCTGGAACATATCTTCAATAAGTAAGAGACAGAGATGAAGATGTTCACCACAGTATTCTTAACATTAGTAAGTAAACGAAGTTAGAGTGAAAAAAGAAAAACTGCAAAAAAAGTTTAAATGTACAAGTACAAACCAAAGAAACTGTGACCAATCCATACAAAGAAAAATTACAAGTTGACACAGAGGTTTTATTAAGTGATTTGAGGAAGAATTCAAGCTAAGTAAGTTGAAAAAAAGAGAAGCTGACATAGCGTATAAAATACGAATTTATCTCAACCTATAAGACTTCTATAGTATGCAGAGGAAGTACAAGAAAATGGGCCAAAATGTGAACTAACTAGTGAGCTAACTCGACATGGATCATGGGCTACTTGTCTTTCTTTTCCCTTTCGCTTTTTCCAAATTTCCCTCCATGAGCTCAATGGCTCTCATAATGAGAGAAGCAAGGCCTGAAAGAAGGACGTGGAGCCCTCTCCCCGGGGCTCCCCACCCCACGTGCGGTCCTTCCCTGGAATCACCTGGTCGGCCTGCTCCGTGAACGAGTCTGTCATTTTAACCACGACATTGGCACTGGCCTCTTCGTTCTCCTGCACGTCGATGCTGGCGACCCACTGGAGTGAGGAGAAAACAGGCTTGGTCAAGAGGCAGTCAGGCAGGACAGATTCATGCGCACGGATGCGGGGAGTTGGAGACAGCTTAAAGGCTTACGCGAAAACCCACTAGAGGAAGGACCTAGCAACTGACCTCTAGCACCCCTCACAGGGCTTTCCGGCTTTGGCCAGCACACCCATTCCTGAGCCCCAGGCCAGTCCACTGTACCCCCAAACACCTCTTTTCCTTCCAGTCTCACCTCTGAAAGCCAAACCCTGCTGGGGCAGAGATGCCCAAGACCAGGGATTGCAACCCTTTTCTTAAAGAGCCAGAGGCTAAGTCTTTCAGGCTGTGATGGCCATATGGCCTCTGCTGCTGCGTCACTTCAGTCGTGTCTGGCTCTGTGTAACCCCATCCAGCTACTCAACTCTGCTATCACAGCTAGACAGCAGCCACGGAAAACAGCCGAGGAATCGATGAAAGAGCATGGCTGTGTGCTGAGAAGACATCTGTCGCTGAATGCTTAATTTTATATAAAGTTCACACATGGCTACTCTTCTTTGGATTTCTATTCACCAATTAAAAGTGGGGAACTCTTTTTTAGCTCTTGGGCTCTGTGATAACAGGTGCCAGGCAAGATCCAGCCCCTGGAGAACTGGAATTTTCCAATCCCTGTCCCAGAGCACAAAAGGATGGCTGTGGGCGTGGATATCAGGTCAGAGTTTGAATGCTGATTCTGCCATCCGGGAACTCTCTCATCCACCCACTCAGCAGAGGTTCCTCCCCTGCAAAATGAGTGTTGTCAGCAATCAACAGGATTAGTGTGAGAATTAAATTAAATGCAGGATGCTGTGTTGGATGAGTGGCATCATAGACTCAATGGATATGGGTTTGAGCAAACTCTGGGAGATAGTGGAGGACAGAGGAGCCTGGTGTGCTGCAGTCCATGGGGTCGCAAAATGTCGGACACGACTGACGATTGAACAACAACATCAGCTGCTAACACACGGTGCTGACTCAGAAAGCTCCAGGGGCCTGCAGTCTGAAGGCCCCCGAGATAAACATCTCCCCCACAAGCTTTGAAGAACACAGCATCCATTCAGAACACTCAATGCTCTGTGTCACAGGGAGGAGGGTACTGAGATAAAGAAATGGTTCCATCCCAGAACCCCTAGAGCTTCCAGGAAGGAAGGGAGCGAAAGACAGAGTCATGGGTAAGTCAGCTCTCCATATTCACCAAGTGAAACGACACCGACCGTACACCCCCCCCACACCCCGCTTGGAGAGGAAGCACAGCCCTGCATCTGTAACAATGGATACAGGAGCCCTGGATTTTTTTTTTAACAGGAGGATAATTGCTTTACAATGTTGTGTGAGCTTCTGCTGCACAACAGCCTGAATCAGCGATTTGTTTCCTTTGTTCAGCTGCTCAGTTGGGTCCTATTCTCTGCAACCCCATGCACTGCAGCACCCCAAGCTTCCCTGTTCTTCACCAACTCTCTGAGCTTGCTCAAACTCGTGTCCACCAAGTCCTCTGTCGCCCTCTTCTCCTCCTGCCTTCAGTCTTTCCCAGCATCAGAGTCTTTTCAAAGGAGTCGGCTCTTCGCATCAGGTGGCCACAGTACTGGAGCTTCAGCTTCAGCATCAGTCCTTCCAATGAATATTCAGGATTGATTTCCTTTAGGACGGACTGGTTTGATCTCCAGGGTTCTGTACCTTTTTTCTAGATCCTATATATACATGCGTTAACTCTGTATTAACGTTACTGGAGAGACTAAACAGAACTAAGACTATGTAGGGGCTCTGATACGCAGGAGCTCAATGCCCAGCCCTGGGCTGGCAGTCCTTAAATGTTCCCGTGGTCACCACCCACCCCGCCTGCAGACATGGGAAGACATCTCAAGACAGGTAAATGGCGGGAAGGTGGTGTATTCAGAACCCTTCGAAGCATATTCCTCTGCTAACACGAGATGAAAACCCTGGCTGCCTTTCGCTCTGGCCCCAGTGCACCATGCTCAGGCTGCTGCTGCTGCTGCAACTAAACCCCCAGGAAAGCTCCCGGGGCTACAGCGGGGGCTCTGAGCAAGAAGCCGCTGCGCCTGAAGACACTGTGGGCGGAGTCTCCACCTGGAATTCGCAGAGCAGGCTGGAGGCTGGGGGCTGGGGGCTGGGGGCTGGGGGCTGGGGGCAGGGGGCAGGGGGCAGGGGGCAGGGGGCAGGGTCCCTGGCTCGGTGACAGCCCCCCACCCCCACCCCATGATGCCAAGTACTCCAAGTAGTCTTTGCCAAACAAAAGGCATTTGCGAGCTTTCAAAGTATCACATACAAGGGAAGCTAATGGAACAGGGGTATATATCAATAGGGGATTTTCCAAGTGGCGCTAGTGATTTAAAAACACCAAAAAACAAAAAGCGCCTGCCAATGCAAAAGACTCCGGTTTGATCCCCGGGTCAGGAAGATCCCCTGGACAAGGAAATGGCAACCCACTCCACTATTCTTGCCTGGAGAATTCCATGCACAGAGGAGCCTGGCGGGCTACAGTCCACGGGGTCGGATACGACTGAAGCAATTGAGCAGGCATATATCAATAACATGTGTATATCAATAGTAGCTAACATTTAAATAGCTTTTACCAGCGTCAGGTAATTTACAACTTATGCGTAACGACACCAATTATTTCATCCTCATAACACCTCTAAGAAATAAATACAATTAGTACCCCCATTTTACAGATGGGGAAACTGAGGCTCGCTAACATGAAGCGGTCGGTTCAGGGTCACAAGGCTAGTAACCCCAATGGCCGTGAACAAGGCAGTGATTTCAGATCCTTCCCTCCCGTGACCTCTCCCTCCGGTTCTGGTCTGTCCGGAATCATGCCCGACACTCGGGCCCCAGCAGAGGCCGGAGAGCAGAGCCGCCTCCACCAGCCTCCCGGCAGAGCAAAGCCCTGCACCTCGGCCTGGGTGCACCCGCAAGCATCACGTCTCAGGGGGTTCAGGGCCCCCCAGCTCCCTTCCAGACCAGCGCTGCGCCCCAAGGCTCCTCCGCGCCCGCCCGCCGAATTACCCAGTTGCGGGCCCGGAAGGCCTGTACGCATCGCGAGCCCAGCGCGCCCCGGCCGCCGTACACCAGCACCCGGCGCGCCTCGCCCGCCGCCGCCGCCGCCGCCATCCCTCCGCTGCGCTCGGCTTCCGCTGCTCCCACCGCCCCGAGCGCGGACGCGGCGCCCCGCCCCGCCCCGTCCCGGCCGCCCGCCCGGCCAAGAGGGACCTGCGCGGCAGCCGCGCCCCAGCCCAGCCCGCTGCTGCCGCCTAGCGCGCGCCGCCCGCCGGAGCTCGGCCGACCCCTGCCCCGCGCGCAGGAGGGCACTCTTTATTCAGTTACGCCCCGGCGTGACACCCCAGCGTGACACCCACTGGGAGACGCGATCTCCAAGTGCTGTTCCATTTTACTTTGCACAAGCCTGTGACAGCCTGTGTGTGTGTGTGTGTGTGTGTGTTTGTATATGTGTGTGTGTGTCGCTCAGTCGTGTCCGACTTTCGCGATCCCGTGGACTGTAGCCCACCAGGCTCCTCTGTCCATGGGATTATCCTGGCAAGAACACTGGAGTGGGCTGCCTTTTCCTACTCCAGGGCAAGAGGAGGAGGGGTGACGGAGGATGAGATGGTTGGATGACATCACCGACGCAATGGACACGAGTTTGAGCAAACTCGGGGAGATAGTGAAGGACAGGGACGCCTGGTGTGCTGCTGTTCACAGGGTCGCAGAGTCAGACAGGACTTAGAGATTGAAAAAGGAACAACTCTAGGGGATCTTCCCCACCTAGGGATCAAACCTGTGTCTCTTCTGTCTCCTGTATTGACAGGTGGATTCTTTACCACTAGCGCCACCTGGGAAGCCCTGTTATCCGAATTGTTGATTAAAAAATATTTTCACAACCTGAAACTAGAGAGTTATTTTATTTGGTGGTCAAGTTTAGGACTCAGAACCTGGCAGACAGCATCTCAGTAGCTCTGAGAAAACTGCTCCCAGGAAGCAGGAGGGGAAGTCAGGCTACCCACAAGTTAGGAACAAAGGGAGCAGGCAGTCTGAACATCAAAGATCAGGGATTAAGTTAAGGAACTTGGCTTTCTATGTATGAGAAGAAGCAAGCCTCTGTACTCACTGAATTCATTCCTTTCATGTGCACCTCAGCTATCTGGGGCCAATCCTGTTTTGTAATTCACCCTGCTTCTTGCATTCTCCCAGCTCCTCAGCAATTGGGGCAGGGGGGACCCGGGGAGGGGGCCCACCACATCCACTGGATCACACAGATCACAATTAGTTTTAGGAGCCCTCATTCACCTTTGGAGGCTGGAAATCGCTGATGGCTGTTTCATTTCTTGTTTATTGATATGGCAGGAGATATTTTCATTTCACAGTATGTTGCTCATTAACAGAAAAAAAAAATCGCTATGTCAAGGTCATTGTGATGAAGAAGCCTTTCAAAGACCTGATCTCCAGCCCCAACCCAGACCTTCAGTTTCCTCAGGAGAGAATGTCTGGAATGGCCCGTCCCCTGCCTGCCACAATGGGTTGCGGCACCAACCCCCGGAACCCCCTCCAGAGCTCTGAGACCAAAGGAGGAATTTCACTGGGCCACTCCAATCCCACTCTGCCCCCAAACCGATCCGAGAGGCTGTTGCCAGCCTCACGTGACGTGAAGTTGACATTCGGCAATAGTCTAAAACTTAAAATTTTAAATGCACAGTATAAGACAGAAGTCAGGGAATGTTGCATTCCTTGTGCTTGTAAATGAAAAGAAAGCAGCATATCTTCACTACTCTGTGCTCCGTCTCGGTCTTGTCCAGCTCCTTTCGACTCCATGGACTGCAGCCCTCCAGGCTCCTCTGTGTGAGGGATGCTCCAGGCAGGAATACTGGAGTGGGTTGCCATTTCCTCCTCCAGGGGATCTTCACTATCAGAAGAGACAAAGGCCCCAGCAGGGTGATGGGAGAAGATTATTTGCTAAAACATTAGAAAAACACTTTCCCATTCAGATGACATGACCTATGAGGGATTAAGGGGGTGGGGGGGCAGGGTGTGTAAATGTTGGGTCCAGGCGTGTGTGTGTGTGTGTGTGTGTGTGTGTGTGTGCAAGTGTTGGGTCCAGGCTGCCCCAGCCATCTCAAAGCTGCAATATTACCCACAGCAGATCCACCCAGTGATAAATTCAAAAATCATAAAGCCTTGCTAACGCACTTCAGTTAAAAGGGTTGAGAACAGAGGTCATTTCATGGTGTTAATAACACTTCTAGGGGTTCTGACAGCAGTGACATTTCAGAGAAAGAAACGCGCAGGCAGGCATCAAAGAGATCAACATCTGATACTGTGCGTTGTTGGCAACATTCAAAGGCTACTCTTTCAGACTGTTTTCCCTCTGCCGTTTGCATTTTGTGAGCCTGCCTGTTGTCTCTTTAGACTCAGGTCTACCTGATTTTGCCTGCTAATAGCTCCTTCGTCATTAAGAGAGCCACAGTAGGGTTATTCAAACACTGGAAATGAAGGACAGTTAAACCCTCTGCTGAAACCTTAGTCTAGCGGGAGGTATAGGGTTACTTCCTTGGTAACACACTCCTCCACCCTGCAGTCAGGTGAAGACGTCTCTGTAGAGACTTCCCATGTGGTTGCAGTAAACCGGGGCTGTGGGCGCAGGTGCTGAGGGAGGACCAGGAGACACCCCTGAACCCTTGAGCGGGTGTGCTTGGGAGAGCCCGCCCTGGAGCAGGGGATCACCCAGTGTCCGGAAGATGCTGAGGACCCCCGGTGTTGCTGGGATCCCTGGGGCATGACCTGCACCCAGCAGCATGCCTGGATGGTTCAAAAAGGCGCGGTACGGGCTGGCTTCTCTGCTCAGCTTCTCCTCCTTCATCCTGATCATCATTGCCCTGGCGCTGCCCCGCTGGCTGAGTGGGAAAATCCTCTGTCAGACGGGAGTGGACCTCGTCAACGCCACGGATCCAGAGCTGGTCAAATTCGTCGGAGACATTTACTACGGACTCTTTCGCGGTTGTAAGGTGCGGCAGTGCGGGCTGGGGGGCCGCCAGTCCCAGTTCACAAGTGAGTATACTGCGGCCACAAAAGCTGCTTCGGAACACTTATTTGTAAATACTTGTATAGGGTGTGTGCACGCACGCTCAGTCACCGTGTCGAACTCTTTGCGACCCCATGGACTGTGGCCCACCCACCAGACTCCTCTGTCCATGGGATTTTCCAGGCAAGAATACTGGAGTAGGCTTGTCTCTAAATGCAGAATTGAAGAGCTGCTTCAGTCTAAGGCATGATGACAAATTCCACAGTAAACCAAGGACTTACTCTTGTTCAGCATCAAGAAAAGATCTTTTTTTTTTTTGTAGATCTTTGTAGTTTACCTCTATGAATAATCACTATTAATATATTGAGTACGTACTTGTGTCAGACATTCTACGAAATGCTTTCCATGGCTTGTCTCTGCTAAGCCTTGTAACACATTTATAAAGAAGGCATTATTAACATTCCCATTTTGCAGAGGGTTGCACAGAGACTTGGAGAGTTTATTACATAATTTGCCTGAGGTCAACCAGCCAGGAAACGGAGTCAGACTTTAGACGCGGGCCCCGCAACTGGGGTGTGCTCAGCCAGTCTGGCCTTTGAGTGTAGACTGCCTGCTGAAATGAAACTTACACTTCCGTTTATATTAATATAAAAGCTTCCGATTGGGAGAAAAAGCAAAAGAGCTCTACATCTGAGCACTGGACTCAGACTACCTGGGTTCAAAGCCCTAACCCGTTGTTTCCTGGCAGGGATAGCTTGGGCACAGCTGCTGTCTGTGAACGTGACCGGGCACTGACCTCGGCGGGCAGACATCCAGGTCACCTCAGAGCTGCCCTGAGTATAAACGGAGCAGGAATCCAAGCCCAGCGTATGAAGGGTCCTCTGGGAAGGAAAAGCCAACACAAAAAGGCCAATTTTCTGCATGTTTTCAGAGTGAAACAGATCACCGGTGGGAACAGTAGCCTACAAATTCATGATTAATCCTCATAATGGAAAATCAAGGGAATAAGGAAGTTTATTCATTATTTGATTTCTATATGTCAGGATTGTAGTGGAGAAGGAAATGGCAACCCACTCAAGTACTCTTGCCTGGAAAATTCCATGGATGGAAGAGTCTGGTAGGCTACAGTCCATGATCGCAGAGTCAGACAGGACTGAGAAACTTCACTTTCTTTCTTTCTTTAGCCAGAGTATCTTCTTAAACATATAAAGAGAGAAAACTGGAACCACTGACAAATGATACAAATTGGCTTCACTTATATACATGAAGGATATACATATTAAAATTTGTTAGGTCTAGCAATAAAAAAAAAACTCAGGGAATATTTATATTTACCCAGAAATTAAATTGGACAAGGGATACTGAAAAAAATACCTAATTCTTTTAAGAATATGAGGGGATAAAACATATCAGCAAAGCTGATTGACTTTGTTGTACAGCAGAAACTAACAACCACATTGTAAACAACTATACTCCAATAAAATGTAATAAAAGATTATATAAAAAGCTGAAAACACATTTAACATAAATAAATAAATATAGCAAAGAAATAGGACAAGCTAAAAGGAAATGATGACAACTGTGTGCAGTACTTGGTTCTGAGCTGGGTCTGTGTACTACAAAGGACGTCACTAGGATAATTGATGGAACTTGAACCAGGCGTCAGGATTACAGCAGTCATACGCCAGTGTTAACCTAATGATTTTGATAGTTGTATCATGGTTGTCAAAGAGAATGCCCTTTTTGAGGAAATTGCTCTTGAAGTACTCAGGGTTGAAGGAGCAATGTACCCTCAAATGGTTCAGGGGGGAAAAAAAGTTATTGGTAGCATTAAGGTTATTTCAAAACCACTTATACAAAAAAAAAAATTAAGTGGGAGATGGCACAATTTTTTAAACAGTTGTAGATAATTTGCAAAATTTTTATTCTGTATTGGATAGTCTCAGCATCAGAAGTGAGTCTCATTACCTTTAGTAAAAGGTGAAAGATTTATATGATTTGAAGAGAAACCAGCATATATTTCTCCCTACCTTTAGATGTACAGCTCCTAGAGCCAACATCACCTCCCTGTGTGAGGTACCTAGGGGGTGCATCAGAG